GCCAACCGCCCAGATATTGTTATTAAAGACCACAAACAAAAACGGTGCCTCCTTATTGATATGGCAGTCCATGCTGACTGCAATGTATCTTTGAAGATATTCAAAAAGTTGTCAAAGTACAAGGACCTTGAAAAAGAAATCTCGAAAATGTGGCATATGGGAACATCAACAATCCCTGTTGTAGTTGGAGCCCTAGGACTGGTTGGAAAAGATTGCAGTAGACTAATTGAAGGGATTCCTGGAAGTCCATGCCTCAAGGAGATACAAAAAATTGTTCTGACAAGTACAGCCCACACCTTACGAAGGGCGTTATCTATGTAATTTAATTTTTTTTTGTTTTGTTTTTTTGTCAGTGGAAAGTGTCATGGTGCCATTTCTAACCTTAGGTCCATGGACGGGACCCGGAAAGAAATGTGTAAACGCCAGAAATCAAAGAAAATGAAAATATTAATATTAATAATAATAATAATAATAATAATAATAAGAAGAAGAAGAAGAAGAAGAAGAAGAAGAAGAAGAAGAAGAAGAAGAAAGAAAGAAAGAAAGAAAGAAAGAAAGAAAGAAAGAAAAAAAAAGAAAGAAAGAAATGCACCATGTATGGCCCACATATCATGCGATCATATTTGAATGAAAAACATAACGCAATGAAATATTAGAAAAAAAATGGTGACTCGTTTCATCCTTTACAACTTCATATGAAGGTGGGGAGGAGAATATAAAGCGTAAACATTGGTTATAATTAGCCATAAATAGGAAACGTTATTAATTTTGGGACGCTGACATTTGAAATTTTTAAATTTAATTTTTTTTTAAGATATCTGTATATAGTCTAGGCAATTTGGGGTAAGGTGTTATTCGCTTTTTGTTTTTATTTTATCACTTGTGTTATTATATATCCCCACATTGTGGAAGATCTACCAATATTAAAATGATGTAAATAGCTGGACGCAAATTTACTCTGGATGTTCCAGCATTACGTGACTTTGTATAGACTTTCATTTAATAAATTGCATTCGCTTTTAATTAAAGTAATATCTTGAAATGGAAATAATTGCCATGCTCCTAACAGTGAGCAACCAATACAATGAAGTTGTTTATGTGTAAAAGATTCATTTTGTGTTCATGTAATATTTTATTTAATATACTTGAGATTTCTCTTATACATTGTGTGTAGCAGTTATTACAGATGTTACATACTGCCATCAAGTTCGAATTAATTATTATATAACTTTTTTATACATATTTTATTGTTTTAGAAATATTTTAAAATATTTTTTTGTTAAAATTAGATAAATTATTTTTATTAGTATTTATAATAAATTTGGTAGGAAGAATATCGTTTGATTCGTCGATACTATGAATATTTTCCCAAAGAAAGATTTGTATAACTCTTGTTGAATTAAGATGGGTTACAAGAAATATCCTTTTTCTTTATCAGAGATTCCCTTGTAAGTTGCCTGGCCTTAAATATTTCGGTGCATAACCCAGGGCAAGGGTGGCGAAACAACGATTCGCGAGTCACATGTGTGTCTTTGACCTTTAATATGCAGCTTATGGAAATATGATTACTGAGTTGATTTTTTTAATCACAGTTAATATATAAGTAGATGATGAGTATTTCAAGCTTTATAATTTTGAGTAAGAATTGGATTGAAATGTAAGGTTAATGTTCATGGTTAGTAGAAATATTTAAGAATTTAAATCGTAATTTTAATACTATTTCTGAAGGAAATATTGTTCTCTAGTACTGAGGGAAGAATGGGAAGAAGCAGAAATTTCCGGTCAGCAAGTGTTAAAGTGGAATGTTAGAAGACGAGGGTCATGTGTAAGGGATTAAATATTTGGGTGAGCCGGGGAGTGAGTGCATGAAACAAACACGTATGTGTAAATGTTGTCACCCACACCAGAGGGAATAACGCAGTGCAGATCTCAGTTTACAAGGAAGATTTGTGGAAGATATCATGTCTGGGTGATGAGATGGTTGAATTTTAGATTTGAAGGATAAGGAAGCTGTAAACTTTTCGATTCCTAACTAAGTAACTGGAACCTGCTATCGAAGGTCACTTGATCGGACTGGGGTACCTGATTTGAAACATTTCTAAGTGGACTTCATCTGAATGATATTCGGTGATTTTATCCAAAATTCTCAGCATCTCTAGTACATTTTGATGAAACATATTCCTAAATATTTTGCTATGTGCTGTGTCATTCATGAACACTAGCAATTATGTCTCTTCACAACTTCCTGTCTTACGTAGCTCTTAATATATATTTGTCTTGTTGTTATCTCGCCTAAACATTGCTCCTCCATCCGTATACACAAACACGCTACGTAGGTTATGCACTGTTTATATCTGTCTCAGTAGCCTTTAAGCTGTCCATTGCGTGTAACATTTTTCAAGTCCGATTTCCTCATTATGTGCCGTAGAAATTTCAACGTTCGCTTCCTGATTTTAAGGATGTGTTGTTTTGTTTCCATTTTCCCTAAAACTGTATCGTTGCTCACATGTTCGCCCCAGCGTTTTCACAGCATTTGTCTATAGAACAACGTTTCAGTTGCTTTATGTCTCTTCTTCAGCTTTGGGAAGATTATCCAGCATTCATTGCCATGTAAGAAGACAGATATTACATAAGACTTCAGTACATATTTCTAGTATACTCTATTCAGAATGAACGTCATTATGGATATATCAGATTACGTATATTTATATCACTGCATTATTTTGTTACCGCGGCATTTAGTACTATTACTACTACTACTATTACTACTACTACTACTACTACTACTACTACTACAACAATAATAATAATAATAATAATAATAATTTAAAAAGCCGTATACATGAGAAGCTACGTAGTGAAGAGTTAAAAGCTGAAACAGAAAATGTTATACTTGCTGCACAGGACCAATGCTTGCTACCTAGAAATTACCAAGTTCACATACTGGAAAATTGTGCTAGCTCAAAATACAGATTCAATGATAAACTTGACCATCTTGTATCAGATAGTACGTCATTAGCACCCACTGTATATTAAAACCAGTATGAGAGTATGGGTCAATAACTGCATTGGCAAATCTGCAAATTTTATGGAAAGGAATCAGCAAGTAATTGGTATGAACACCAAGCCAAACTCAGTGACAGACATAGGACATGTAACAGGTTTATGAGAATTTAGAATGCACACAAACAGAACAATCAAATCTAATCCACCAGACATTGCATTAAGAGACAGCAGAAAGAAAATGTGCTTTCATATTGACATGGCCGCCCCTGCAGTCTGTAATGTATGTTTGAAGATCTTCAGAAAACTATGAAAAATGCAAGTAACGTGAAATCGAAACTTCAAAATACCCCAATTGTAGTTGGAGCCCTCGGTTTGATTGGAAAAGGTGCCGATAGACTCACTCAAGTAAGATCTGGTAGGCCAAGCATTAAACAAAAAAAAATGTATTCACAAGTACAGCTCACACGTTAAGAAGGGCTTTATCTATGTAAAATATTTTTCTTTTTTTTTATCAAGGACCATTAGGGGAAAATATCATTATGGCATTTTCGACCTTAGCTCTCTGGTTTAGATCAGGAAGGAAATTAGTATACACCAGAAATCAAAGGATATATAATAATAATAATAATAATAATAATAATAATAATAATACTATGACTGAGGTTTATTAGTGAGGATATTGTCGAGTGTGAATACAATAGTAAAAGGAAGTATTTTATGACAATAGGATAGTACAGTATAAGGATGAAGAGTGCTTATTCAGAGTTCAACGCAATTTCAGAAACTGTAACGCCAGTTATATGCAAAGAAGAAAGGGCACCTCGAGGTGGTGTAATGGTTAGCAAGCTTGTATCGATAGAACAATTACGACTGAGTAGTGAGTTCGATCCTCACTGGGTGCCCCATACTTTCGGCCTTGTACCACATCCGAGCTACGCTTGGAAAATCGCTATATGCAAAGAAGAAACAAAAAGAAAACAAAGGAAACGAATGATGAATATGCTTACGAAATATTGTATGATATGTAATGGTATGATTAGCCGTTTCCTTATAAGGAAACATTCGACATTCATTGACCGAATAGTCAGCGTTACTGTCAGTTGAAGTTTATAAATAATCTCTTAATTTTTTTCAGCAAAAGTTATTCTCATGTCAGTTAAATGCCATAGCCCTCACTACTTTTGTTAGAACTCTTCAAGTGACGTGTTTTATTATTTTATAAAGGTCTTTATTATTCGATATTGCCAATCGACCAATTCTGAAAGAGTAATTCGCGTAAATATACACTTAAACTCTGACATATGTGGATCTCAGTAGAGAACTTAATAAGTAATAACATTACGAGCATTCTCCCAACAATAATATGTCCTATATATTTTCATATATTAAAAAATATAGTTATCTGATGAAAAATATAGAATGTATGGAATACACACCGAAAGAATGAAGTCTTGGAGAATTTGGCATTCACAGGAAATAGTGGAAAAAAGACAAGCAGGCGCACAGAACAACTAACCACCTTAACGAATAAGAATAATGGCTGACAGAAAAAGAGCCAGGAGAACAAAGACTAATGGGGTCTTTTAAGAATAAATTATGGGAATTTTTGCCAAGCGATACTGCATGTTTTGGCTGCCTCAAATAATAGCTTGCGTTTGTCGCTCATAAACATCTGTACTAACGACGTGATTCGCTATTTCACTGCTTGCTTTTTCACATATATACAAATTACCCAACGACTAACTATACACATCAACTGAGTCATGTACGTCAGTATTTCCCTGTGACAAACATCTGCTTAGTGCGATCTTTCATTTCAAATTGCCGCTTAGTTTTTACAGGTTACAAAAGACAAAAAAAAAATAGCGTATTTTTTTGTGGGAACGTTCAGCCTTGACTGATATAGACTCAAAATACATCTTTGGCATCAGCGCCAAGAGAATCAATATGGAATAATTATTTTCGGAGTTATTCTCACATAAATGACTGTAGCTTTCGACCATATCAAGTTGAAGAGCCGGTTCTCGTGCGATCCCCGTAGTTAAGCGCCGTTGAAGCTCGTCAGTACTTAAATGGGAAACCGCTTCGCAATTCAAAGTGCTGTAAATTAGATGTGCAGGTTGTGTAATTGATAACGGCACTGAATTGGGATTTAGAAAACTATACGAATTCCAGTGGCCTTCGTTATATTCACTTACACGGAAATACACTTAAAAAAAATTATGAATATACTGTTATTCATCATGACGGTCGTCTTCGAGTATAGAATCCAGAGGTTAGCAGTGAATATTTCGAAGACAGTAGGAAAGCGTTGTTCAGGTTAGCAGTGGATATTTCGATAAAAGTAGCAGAGTTCGTCCTTCTGGTTCTCTTCGCCTGACAAGCTGGACTGGACATTCGGTTAGAGTGAACAAAATGGCCGCCTATATACACGACGGATAGAATGTTCTATTTCTTCTGATTGGTTAACCTTCTATTGGTAGACTATAAAGTGAGTCAAGTCATTTGGATTGGCTCACTAGTTACATATTGTACACAAAAAACTGCAACATATACATAATCTCATCCCAGTTGTATGACGTTTATCAATAAATATATATTATCTCCAAAACGTTCTTGCAATCTAAAATATTTTCTGGATTTAAATAACCTGCAAAAAGCCCTTACAGTCTAAATTATTTCTCTGGCTTTAAACAAGCTTCAAAAGGTTGATAAGCCGTACAAAAAATGAAAATATCAAATTCATATACACCATTGTTCTGGAAAGGCGATGAAAAAAATTAGTATGTTCATAATTTAGAATCTATTTTAGTAAATAAAATACATACATATCTGGCGTATTGAAATTGAAACATTTCTCTCAGTCAAAGGCGAAATACCAAATCGCAAACAATAAATATCAGATCATGCCTGCTGGAAGTCCTTTTACATTCCGTTTATTTTTCTAAAATTTCGTCTTTGTTGAGAGATTCTGTCCATTAGATACTCATCAGTCTTCTGTAGATCTACATTACAGTTGTTTCAAATATTTTACTTACCAGTGAGGAGATTGTACAACATTTACTGCGATAGAGGGTCACTGACATTATATAGCACATCGGTAATAGTTTCTTTGTTTCTAAAGGAGTTTTCATGTTAGTTAAAATTTTCCTTAGCTTTTGGAAAATATTATTCTCTCTTCTGATGCGCCTTGCGTTTCAGTTTCACATTTTCCAGATCTCTGTTAGAAAAGCTCCAAGCCATACGGTCTCCTAAATGTCAGGAGAAATGGTATACTAGAGTATTCTTTTACATGTTTGAGAATATCGAATTTTAGTATATGACGAATTCTATTCGATGACTTAGGGCATAGAAATAGAAATACTGAATCAATGCTATTTTCTCGACTCACTTAAAATAAGAACTTACATTTTTCAAAAACGTTATTGAAGTGACAGTAAAACATTTTATCTAACATTACGACTACAATCTTTCGTAAAATAAATACTAACGTAGAAACTGCTAAGTATATATGCTCCTGAATTATGTTTTATATATATGTAAACAAACATATTCCGAAAGGTTCAAGCTTTCAAAAAAGATATTTAAGACGAAATAAAACTTGGTTTATGTCAGTCATCATGTGCCATGCGTGATACACGCTTAGGCAATCATGTATCTTTCGATACATGAATGACGAGTCAGATATTTCCCGCAGTAGGTTGCCATTTCTTTCTGCGGTAGACCAGTTGCCATACAAGGCAACAGAATTCTGTATGTCCTGCTATTTACCGATAGCTGGGTGGGGAGGATGGGATTCATACATTTCTCGATGTTATTAGCACGCAAGTGAATGTAAAGAATTCGACTAGAATTCAAACTCGGCTCTCCGATTCCTCAATCTGTGCTGCAATTCATTACTCCACGATGGTTTTGGTAGAATTCTTTCTCTTCAGTGTGTGCCTCTCTCTCTGTCGTTACGTGTGTTTCACTCTCTATATCACATTCTGTCTCTATCTAGATCTATCTATCTCTCTATCCTCTCTCTCTCTCTCTCTCTATATATATATATATATATATATATATATATATATATATATACTAATATATTTAGGCAGAATTTTTTCATTGATACATGTTTCATTAAATAATATAGAGAAGTTTTGGCTATTTATTTTAAGTAAATTTCTTTCATATTGTCTGATAAGCTTAATAACTTTATCATTGAAAGATGAAAGTAAAAAACAATATTGATACAAGTTTGCTAATCCTATCTCAACTTTCGGCTTACATAAGCCATTATCAAACATGACAATTACATTTCAATATATCAAACAATACACGGACAAAACAATAATGATAGTCTGTTTTCTTTCAACTTTCAATGATAATGTTATTAAGCTTATCAGACAATATGAAAGGAATTTACTTAAAATAAATAGACAAAACTTGTCTATATTATTTAATGAAACATTTATCAATAATATATATATATATATATATATATATATATATATATATTATATTATATTATATTTTTATATTTGCCACTAGGCAGAGGAAATGAAAGGGAATGAGAAGATTAAGATTAGGAAGGATTGAGAAAAATACATAAAAAAAGAACCGGTTTTAAAAAATACACAAGAATGAGATTGAAATTTCATTTAAATTTTTGAAGATTGTAGTTAGCAGGGAAACAAAAAAAACGGGAGGTAGATGCAGAGGTGGCAAGTGCAAGAAAAACTGTTAGAGTAGAACTGACATTTGCGTCTAGCTAGTTCAACAATAAAACGGTGGGACCTAGTTGCCAATCTAGTAACACTTAAATTCATGTATCCGGTTCACCAGTGATAATTTTGTTTTTGTTTCAGATAATTTCATAATAGTATTTTTTTTAATTATTTCTGCGTGTGCTTTATATATCGCTATCACAGAACTTGTATAATAAATAAATAATTCTAATTCTAACTTTACACATTTGACGGACTTCTGAATGACATGTTTTTTTTTGTTTTGTTTTGTTTCAAATATTTTTACTATCGCTCACCAAAATTACATTCTGTTTATCCAACTGAGTCATTATGTAGTCAGACGCTCATTAATACTTCCAGAAAATCTTGCGTAGTTCTGATAGATAAATGTTCTGTTGAATTTTATACAATATAAAATACATTGTACTGACTTTATTAAACGTTTTTAACTGTTTGGTAATTAGTAATCTGTTTCATTTTACATATCTTGAATTCTCTTTTTATATGTCTTTTATATTTTCAGGTGTTGGTCGTTGTTATATTAACGAAAGATTTGGAAAGGTCAGTAAAATATTATTTTAGTTTTTCTGATGCAAATCTACTTTTAAAAAAAAAGAACAATAATCAGTCTCTTTAAAACCATTTGAAAAGATATATTTTGAAGTGTCCCTTCACAAATATAATATAAATTTGCTAATGATTAATGATATACGTTGAATATTAGAAACGGCAATTCGACATCAGCTTCCAACACATAATTTCATCAAGTTACTAACCTATGGGTTCAGTTTTTGTTTGTCTGTGGACATGTATTCCTAAAAGAGAAAGCCTCTATCAGATGTGTACATATTTCAAGGCACTTAATTTTACGTTTATGCATATGTATGTTTTTCGAATCTAGTAGGAAACCAACAATGTCAACAAGGTCGAACTACAAAAAAGGTTATCTCTAACATCGAAAGAACAACGAATTGTTTAAATTTTAAATTCAGAATGGTAATTTGTAGCTCTTGAACAGTTTCCGATGATCAAATCGAAAAAAAAAATCAACAGACAAAAATCCGATGTGAAACATCTTGAGAGGGCTCTCTTAAGAAAGCGAAGAATTGAATACAAGAAGTACACTAACTTGTGCAAAAAGATATCGTTAGGGATTTTCCTTACACTAAGATGAATGTTTCATAAAATTATTATCAATGCAGTCCAAGACAAATAACTTTGATAAACATTTCATCTCAATCCTCGACTGTAATTTTGAAGTGCACACGTAGAAAAATCTATTGAATTTGTAAAATGAATTAATGTAGTAAGGATGACATCAGAAGTCCTGAAAACAAGAAACACCGTTTCTAATTTAAAAAGTAGGAATGGCAAATCGTATGGATGTATTTGAATTGTCATGGAACGAACTTTTTGTTTATAATTCTTTTAATCCTAAAAGGGAAGACATAACTCTCAAGCATGGACTAAGCTACTTGTGGAAACTGACACAATTTCACTAGCACCACGGTTCTGCTATCACCTATAGTGAATCCTGATATGGATCTAAAAGAATATTATCAGGAGAACATAAGTTGATTCATGACCAATTTCAAATTTAGATTTAGAATTGTTATCTTTCGAAGAATGAAGAAATATACTGAAATCAATGTACTGACCAGTTCCGATTTTTAAAATAATACACTCTTTATGGATACACACATATCTATGTGCATTTTCCGTGTGTAGGATGAATCATTTGAATCTCATCTTAAATCTTAAAAATAAAATGGGCTCTGGGAGAAATAACATGATGCTTTCTTTTTTTCATATGTTATATTTGTTCTTCCTCGAAAGATTGTATCGAAACAATTTTTTCTCTATAACACGAAAACAGGGGAATGTACAGATCTTGAATTAATGTTCATCCAATCAAAAAGAATGTGAAATGCGTGTTTCATACAAAGATAACAATAGGAAAATTGTTTTCTCATGTTTGAGATTCTGATAACAGATTTTTTTCTCTTTCATTTTCTTTTATTTTTCCTGAAATGATTCCGATAAAAAAAATGCTTGCAAAGACCAAGATTAAAGGGTGAAAAATTACTTTTGGGGATTCTGTTCAGATAATGTCGTATGGATGTTTGCTTATTTTTGTCTATCTATAAGCAGACCTATATACAACATACAGATACTTTGATGCGAGCAGATTTGGAAATAGATGTCGGATAAAAAAATAAACAACATTATATTGAGAAGCAAAATGTGCTTTGTATATAAACGGACACGATGCTTAGGTGAACCTAGAGTACGGGAATTAAGAAAAATCCGTGGAATTCTTTCATTACATAAGAAAAACTTTTGAAAACTAAAACGAATAATCGAATTAGACTAGAA